AAAAAAAAACCTACTTTATTTTGGGCGATTAGTTTGTTACGGAGATAAAAATCCCTAATAAAAATACAGTATCACTCGCGGTGCCAACCTGGATTCATTTCAAGTGACTGCACGGCAGCGAGGCTTCGTCCAACGACATGTGGCAAAATCACGTGATCGCCCACGTGGCTCCCACACCAAATCAAAAGATCGAATCGTGCGATTCAGATAAACCGGTAATTTTTCTTCATGATCCGCTCACCGCCCCGTGTGGTCACCGCAGACTCCACTCCCATTTAAAGATACGAAGAAATCTTTTTCGTGGTTTCCGAGCGATTTCCGGACTGGAAAGCGGGCAGCCTCGGGAGATGCGATGCCAAAAGCGGCCTGCAGCGGTGAGCGAAAACCAAGGGGCGGAAGGTTATAACCGTCTTTTGACTGGCAAAGGCGATGGGCGAGCAGATATTCATTCCTCTTCTACCTGCTTTTTCTATCTCGCCAAATCGGCGCAAGATTGGCAAAGGTGATTGATTCTGAGGATTTGAGCTAAGAGGTTGAGGGAGATGAAGGGGTGCGAGCTTTGCGATCGGGCAGCGAGGATGTACTGCGAATCAGATCAGGCAAGCTTGTGCTGGGAGTGCGACGCCAAGGTTCACGGGGCCAACTTTCTCGTAGCAAGACATCCGCGCGTGCTTCTTTGCCGGAGCTGTCAGGCTCCAACGCCTTGGAGGGCTTCAGGAGCGCGGCTTAGCCCCACCTTCTCCGTGTGTGAGAGCTGTACCGCGGGGGAGAAAGCTTTGTCGGCAGGTGAGGGCGAGGAGGGCCAAGGAGAAGCGGAGATAGAAGTGCAAATGATGGAGGAGGATGAAGAGGACCTTTATGATGACGAGTTCAGTGATTCGGAGGTGGAGGAGGAGGAAGAGGAAGGGGAGAACCAGGTGGTTCCGTGGACGCAGACACCGCCGCCGCCGGCGAGCTCGTCAAGCGGGGAAGATTCTTCATGGAATGGTAGGACCGGTTCTCCTCTCTTGCATCGGATGAGAGAGAATGCGGATCTCGTCTCCCAGGTAGAGAGAGAACAAATTGTACTCTTCCTCTGTTTTTTATTGCAACTTCAGAAATGGTGTTGCCTAATTTCATGTTCAATTCACAGCATGATTTCACTTGCTCCAATTCTCACCGGAATAATCTAGGAACCGCGGCTGTGCCACTGGTTAGATCTACCGGTAAGGACCACCGTAGATCCCTTCTTCTCCAGGCTAATCCGTCTTCCTTTGCCATAGCTGGTGCCGCCAACAATATCTCCATACGTAGTTTTCATTCCACCTTTGATGTCACGTCTCCAGCTTCTCGAAGTCCTTCTATCTAGGTAAGCTTTGAAATTCTCGGATCATTATTTCATTCTCAATAATGAAATAAACTTATTTTAATTGGGGCCATGCAATACGCTCTTAAAATTTTCGGCTATCGTTTATATGAAAAGAATTGTTTGAGCGCCGTACTTGCAAGGAAAAAGTATTTGATAGATATATACGATAATATAAGTGAAATGCACTCACAACTCATAAAGTAATTGATCTATGGCACCAGAGAAATAGAGAAAAGAACGAGAAATGGAAAATGTAGTGCTCTGTTGTATTTTTCTTTTCAATGTCTGATCGATAAATAGAAATTGTTGATACGAATTTTCAAATTTGGGGACAAAACAAAACAAAAGGCCTATTCTTCAAAGAGCACGCCTAGATCCTTTTCCCTTGTTCTGACTTTGTATTTCATTTTTTTTTCCAAAAAGAGAGGCAAACCTTTTTGTTTCTTTGCTATAATTCTGGTGTAATTATATGAGGAAGAAAAATGTGTTCGAATATTTTTTAATGACAATGATCATATAAAATTTTTTTTTTTTATTGAGTGTTATCTGTGCTGTGTCAAATAGGAGCAATTTTAATTCTCTACCCTGATTCAGTGTTATGGTTAGGCTGGGTAATCTCAGGTTTAGTCCCTAAATTTATGGTTAGGCTGGGAGGATACTGGCTCTCACTCTAGAGCTCCCACTTCTCTTCCCCTAAAAGCTAACACTCGTTTTAGTTCTTAAACACTAAGACTAATCTCAGGTTTAGTCATTTCAAACCATTTGAAATCATCCAAATTGCCCAAAACACCTCAAAATTTCAAAAATTACCAAAATAAAAAAAAAAGATGTGCATAGCACCCAAATCTATTTTTTTGTTTTCACCACCACCTTGCTAGACTCTTCACCGCTTTACTTGGCCACCTGCTAATTCCTAGAAAACAATAATTTTTACAAAATAGCTACCTTGCCAGTTGCTTCGCTGTCAATTGCCTCGCCGCTGACCGACCATCCACTGGCCAACCACGTCTCCTTCTGGCCAGCCATCCCTAGGCCAACTGCCTCGTCACTTCGGTCAGCCACCATGGCTAACCAATTCCTAAAAAGCAACAAGTTTTACATAATAACCAGCTAGTCTATCGCCTCTTTCGCCGTTTGACAATCTCTTCCTTTGGTTGACCATCCACTGGCCGGACGATTCACTGCTCTGGTCAGCCTGCAATGTGGCTGATCACATCCTAAAGGCAAAGATTCATTCATGTACCACTCAATTCTTATATATTATTAAATATATAAATAGGCACAGGAAGGTATTCATGTGCATGCCCACCTAATTTTTTTTACATACCTAACACCTAAACTATCATATTTCATTAGCCACTCGGTCACTTGGGCCGGCTATGCGAAACTAACAAATCCACAAATGAGAAAGAACTCAGGACCGATTCGGGCTGGAGAAAGTCTGGAGTATCCCTTTTTGACCCCTTTTATAACATGGGCGTATATGAAATTTCCTCTCCCCTTCTTATTTACTCTTTAAATAGAGGACCCCTTTGGCATGTAAAGAAGGTTCCTTTAGGCTCTCTCTCTGCTCGTCATGTAGGAAGCTTGCTCCCCTTCTCCCTCAATTGTAACCTAGACTTGTGTTGAATAAAAGAGGCCTCCGGGCTCGGGGACCCAACGGGGCAATTCTCTTTCTTTATCTCGCACTCTTTCTCCACTGACTAGACTCTCACTTTATACCTGGGGCACGGTCAGCTGCGCCACCAACAAGATGAACAACCATCCGGAGAAAGCCACAGAAAAAGAAAAATCAAAACAAAAACAAAAGAGAAAGAAACGAAAGAAAAAGAGAAGAAGAAGATGGAGAAAAGATGTGACAAGTCAGAGAAAAAGACAAAAGAGATAAAGTAAAAGAAAAAGAAAAAGAGAAAAGGCATAAAGTAAAAAAGGAGAAAAGACAACAGGAAAAAAGATGAGCAAAGAGGGGAAAGAACCCCTCTCATGTTTTCCAACTAGGAGGTCACGTACATAAAAAATAAAGAGAGAAGCACTTTCTTATTCCACTTCGTTTACTTGTTGTTCTTTTAAAAAAATAATAACAAAAGAGTTTGACATTGGCTATTTCACCTCCAAGAAGTTGGAACTCGGGGCTTTATATTAGCTGAAAAATGTCGTCTCGTTGGGATAATCATATTAACAAGTTAGAATACAAAACTCACATGATGGTCCATACCCTGCTTATGTTGGTAAGGAGGCTAAATTTTTTGTTTATTTATAGCATGGTTGATTGCTTCTATAACATTTGATCCGTGATGGATTTTAGTATTTTCACTTCATCAAAACAAATTCTTTCGTGGCTCTTACCACACGAACGTCTACTCGCTGATTTTTTTCTATCACAACAGATCACTTCTCTGGCGGGCTTCTCCCTAAAGATTAATTCACCTCTTGATTTTGGACATTAAGACATATTAACAATCTTTAATGCAATCTAACTCATTTATGAACCTACAGCCTTCCTACTTTGGTTCATTTTTTAGACAAAATATTAAACATTTAAGTGAAATTGGTAATTATATTTATACCTTTGACCTTTCTTGAATTCCAATAATTCGATTCTGCTCTATTTAAGAGAAAAGTTTTAGTGTTTTAAAACATAATTATTATCTTATGAATGGATATAGTTTAAATTACATGGATATACTTTATAAAAAAACACAATAGTTGTAATTATAATTACATCAAAAGTTCATTCAAAATTATATTTCATTTTATTGCGCTGAGCAAGTGAGTATGTTCTTCTTCGGGAATGAAAAGTGAACCAACCACAATTATAAAATTTATCCTCGTTAAAATTTCTGCTCTTTCTCTTCTCTTCTTTCTCATTCCCGGTTTGATAACTTATTTTCCCATTTTCCTCGTTGAAATCCTACTCTAAAATCCGTTTGTCTGACAAGCATTTAATGTCTACCTAGAACTTGAAAATATCGTAAAGGACTATTTATGGATGTGCCACCCAACCTTTTGTCTTTACATATCTAAATTTTGCTATCTTACTCACCTTTGTCGTCAATCACCTGCCTCCGATCGGCCACCGCCAGCCTTCTCTTTGAATTCCAAGTGCGATGAGAAGATTTACATTCATGACACGCAGTTCTTGTCCTTATAAATTAATACTTCGAAATACATAAATATTTACATATAAAATACACATCACTCTGATTTAGGAACATTCTATGATTATATGAGATTCCAAACGAAACTCTCATCTCCAACTTCTAAGAGTATTTTTTATTTATTATTTTTTTTCTATCCCTAATGTGGTAGAAGTTTAGTTTATTCAATGTTGAAGCAGCATTGCATAAGACCTGTTCTTAATGTATGAATTAATGCTTCGGCGCCTGTTCAAATGCTTATGCTTTATCAACTATATTGATAGCGGTCGTCAACTCCATATAAGATTTTGTTTCTCTGATATGATCATGTTATTTTCATCAAGATTATTCTACTTGTATTGTCAAAAATTGAACAGTCTCAAGGCCATAAAAAATACCGATGACGCCGCAAGAACGTCCGACCGGTTGAAAGCAAAAATACCAACAACAACACCAAGAACATTCGATCAGTTAAAAGCAAAAAATACCGACAGCGACGACAAGAACATCTGATTGGTTGAAATCAATGACTATACTCTTCAAAAATCTAATGACTAGCAGACGATTATTTTTTTGAAATACAATCACTGAAGAATAGCAAGAAGAATATTAAAAAATCTTCTTAAATGTTTATGGAATGATACTTTCGAAATTAATAAGTTTTTCATTCTTATGGCAGCTTCACTTCCATAAAATGAAAACTTGGGGGCTTCATGTATTGAACAAAAATATGACCTTGCCTAGCTGGGAAGATTGACCCCAAAGATACAAGCGACCACATCCCCGTTGGATTGGTCATCCACTGGTCGGTCGCCTCGCACCTCTTAAAGTACATAATAAAAAGTAAATAAAAAGAGGAATTTACATACATAGCAATCAATTCTATTTTTAGTTTTCACCACCATCTTGCCAGCCGCCTCGCCGTCGACCACCTCGCCGTCGGTCAACCATCCACTGGACGACCACATCTCCCTCTCGCCGGCCATCCTATGGTTGGCCGCTTCGCCGCTTCGCCGCTCTGGTCAGACATCATGGCCGACCAATTCCTAGTAAACAATAAGTTTTGCATAACGACCACCTTGCCAGCCGCCTCGCCGTTGGCTGGCCATCCACCGACCGACCATGTCTCCTTCCTACCACCCATGCTAGGGTCAACCGCCTCGCCGCTCCGGTTGGCCACCATGGCTGACCAAATCCTAAAAAAACAAATTTTACATAACTGTCACCTTGCCGGCCGCCTCGTCGCTTGCTTGGCTGGCCGCTTCACTTCTTCTGTCGACTACCAATCGGGCTGAGCACATCCTAGAAATTCATGTACATACCACTCAATTTTTATATAGTATTAAATATATAAACAGGTATATGAAGGTTTTCGTGTGCATCCCTCCAATCCTTTTACATATATAATACCTAACTATGATATTTCATTAGCCACCAGGCCAGCTGGGCCAGCTATGCGACACCGACAAATCCACAAATGAGAGAACTCGGAAGGAACGGTTCGAGCAGGAGAAAGTCTAGATTACCCCTTTTTTATTCTCTTTATAACAAGGGCATATATGTAATTTTCTCTGCCTTTCTTATTTTCTCTATAAATGGAGAACCCCTTTGGCATGTAATGGGGGGTCCCTTCAGGTTTTCTCTGTCCCCCTCATGTAGGGAGCATGCTCCCCTTCTCCCTCACTTGTAACCTAGACTTCTGCGGAATAAAAGAGGCTGTCGAGCCCGAGGATCACCCTTGTTTGCCCCCAGACGGAACAACTCTTTCTCTCTCTCTCCACTCATTCTCCACCGATCGGACTATGGATTTTTCCCTTGCCGGACAGATTTGTATTCAATAGATTTTAAGTTGGAAGATCTTAGATGTCTTTTCTTCCTCTGATATTTTTCTTCAAGTTTTCAATTGAAGGGTTAATTTACCGTTGTTTTGCTTAGCGGTTAGTCGGCTCTTGGTACGTTCTGTGCTTTGTGGCCAACACAAGTGCCCATTTCTGAGGATGTGGCCAACACAAGATCTCTCTCTCTCTCTCTCTCTCTCTATATATATATATAGATATATATGTATATATATATACATATATATATACATATATATATACAGATATATATATATACTTATATAGATGCTAGGGATAGAAGGGGCGACCTCTTTCATCCGTTAATTTTTTCGAGTTCGATACAATGATTGTACTGACACGGATGCAGGAAATGGGATATTTGAGAGGGGGAGAGAGTGAGATCCTACTTGTATGTTTATTGTTGTGTGTAATTTAATTAATTGACCCGGTTTATTTTAAATTTAAACTGATTAGCGTTTTTGATAGTTAAAAAAAAAAATCTTAAAGAGCGATTAGTACAGAGATAATTACCTGATATCTCTCACACCTTTTTTTTGTGTTTATTTCGCATTCTATTTTTACAAAAAATATGATGCTTTGAATGGGTATTGTACAACCTAATCTGAGCCATTTGCTGTAGACCTTGTGCCAATACTTTGTTTGGATTAAATAAACTATAGTTGTGTGGCTGGAATTGAATAGTATCCCCTTCTGATGACTACGATTATTAAAAAGGCATGGTGATAAGAATAGAGTAACCATCCTGGAAATTTTTTTATGATTTTCATTTTGTGTTCAATACTCAGTATTTTATTTGAGTATGCTCAAGTTTAAAATAAGCGGTTGCTTTATTAAAGTTGTCAATTTAATTTATAGAACATCTGACTGTCTTCAATGGGAGTGCCTTAAATTAAATGCTCCATGCAAATTGTTTTTATCTTATTAGGAATTTTTGTTGGCCTTGTAAATGAATAGATGACATAGCATATTCCTCTTAATTATTTTATTGATTCCCAGTGTTATCAAGTACCAGGCTTTAGAAAAATATATGGGGGTAATCTCATGCATACTCTTCAAATGATGGTTATTTACAAAACTAATATTTTAATCTCTATTCTTTAATTTCTCACCATAAAAAATTAAATTCATGGCAAAGTACCAACTCTTAATTTTTTTGGTTTCATTAAATTTTTAATAGTTTGATCATGGCACACACAAATACATACGCCTGCTAGTTCTTTCTTTTTTAGATATGGTATAGTTTAATAAATAGGATAGATATGGTGGCGTGAGTAAATCTCCAAAAATATTTTAGTGTTAATGGTTTCTAAGCCGAAAAAATAGTTTTACCTCTGATTTATTTTGGCGTAATTTTATTTGTTCACTAGATCATGCACTCTAAAGTAGTATCATTACTGATGGTTTGCCAATCATCAAGTGGTTCATGTTGGTTGTGGCTCACATGAGTGTCAGCCTCTTGTGTTTTGTCATACAATGTTCAAGTGCGAGGTCTCTCACAAATCATTTCATTTGGTTGAGGACAAATCTCACTTGGGGAGATTATTCTGACGTGAGAATATTGCGTTTAGTTCCTTATTTGATGGTTGAGAAATGTTTTGATGGTGAAATATAGAATGATTGGCTATCATTAATGGGCTTCAATTTTTTTTTTTTGCATTGAAACAAATTTGACTATGGTCATTTTTGGGTTGGCTTTGATCTCCTATATTCCTCTCTCTTCCATCACAGGTAAACTTGATTCCAGCTTGGTGAAACTCAACCGGCATACTAGCATTAACTATTACACATTTGTTATCCTTGCACTAATGGAATATTGTGGTTGTGCATTTTACATGCTTCTGGAATGTGACTGGCAGGTTAAATTGGGTTGGTTTTTTTGTTTTTTAAATAAAGTGGATATCTTTGAATTTCTTAGTATAGAAGTAGAATTTTGATAGGGTTTTGTGCAAAGATGGGTGGGTTTTATTTCTTTACTGAAAGTGGCTATGCAATTTAACAGTGATTATTGGGCAAGCTTACCTATCTATTGTCAAGAACTGTATTGCATTTTTAACGTGCAATGTTTGTTTTTTGCATATTGTAATATTGATAACAAATAACAAAGCGCAATATATACTGAAAATATAAGCTCAAGTAAACGAAAATTAGCACTACACTCATATAAGCGTTACACAAATTGACTGGAGAGCCCATTGCTCAACTTATTTGCAATAAATATGATAAAATTGATGAATTTCATCTTCAGCATTGTTTTAAACTTGTAATTCATCTCATGGATGGGTGTTTTGTTGATCTACAAGTGTAGGAATGATGATTGGAAATGATTAATATACTTTTTATGGCAGGTATTGATGTCAAGATTGGTTGTAAAGATTATAAGTTTGGAATTAATTATTAGGAATAATTGATCGAATTTGATTGTATAAGTGAATGCTCTAGATTGGGAAAAGAATCTCGTTGAGAGAAGAATCATCATGAAACAGAATTACAATTAATCATGTGGAGCAGTTCTAGTGAAAGAAAAAGTAAATAACTGGTGCAGTTCTAGTTCTATTCAATTCAAGTACATAGTAAAATTGATTTCTTCTAGGATTCATTCTACTTATATATGCAATTAAAATGATAGAATTGAAGGATTTTATCTTATGCATTGCTTTAAACTTGTAATTTATCTCATGGATGGGTGTCTTGTTGATCTCGAAGTGTAAGAGAAATGATTTGAAATGATTAATAAACTTTTTTATAGAAGGTGTTGATGTCACGATTGGTTATAAAGATTATAGCATTGGAACTAATTATCTGTATTAATTGATTGAATTTGATTGCATAAGTGAGAGCTCTAGATTGAGAAAAAGAATCTCATAGAGAGGAATCTTCATCAGAAACACAATCACAATTGATCCAAGTAGAGCAGTTCTAGTCAAATAAAAAATAAATAACGGCAGCAGTTCTAGTTCTATTCAATTGAAGTACATAGTAGAATAGATTTCTTTTAGGATTCTCCTTCCCCCTTCTATCTCGCTAAATCTTACTTTTCCTTAAAAAAGAGAAAAGACATGTTGGGAGTTTAAGATAAATTATCAAATTAGGATAGTTGATTAAAAAATATGTTATAACAGTAATCAAACTTATGATTTGTCTCAAGATAAAAATTTTCTTTCTGATATATATCAATCAATGTCATTCTCTTTTAATTATTTATTTTGTACTCTTTATTTAAATCTTTAATAAGACCTTTTGACTTATTTACTCCCTCTTTAATTTGATGATAATGGTGAGAATCAGACATTTATTCGATCGTTTAATTAAGAATTTTTTTGAAGTATTGTCTTATTGCCTTTTTTCTATGCACCATTAAACCTCAAGTTTTACTCATTTCATTTTGCATTCTGATTGAGTTGTAGCCCTATATTCAGAGACTTGTCCAACACAATCTTTTCTTACATTTTCAAGTGTTGAGGCCCCTTAAAAAAAATTAAATTTTCTATAGATCTAATATCAAATATCAAAGAATGCTTCAATCTTAATGCTTAGTTATAACATATAACACATTTTTTAACAAATCTTTTTAGCAGACCTTAAAATTTGCATGATAGTTTCCCCATTCTTTTATTTTGCATGGCTAACAATCTTGACATTGAATGATATGCGGCGCATAATAAGTCTTATAAATCTACTTTTCAACTAACTGTTGATATTGAGATTGAGCATCTAGCCGTTTTTGTTTATTATACGTGATCCGAGTTTTCATAAAGATATCAATCGATATCTACCTAAGATGATTAATAGTGTATATTCTTTGGTATGGTGATACCTTGTTTTGCTTCAAGCAAATTCTACTCCAAGTGGGCCATCTTTGATGAAGGGGTGGTGGAGGGTGGGCTGAGAGAGATAACATCATGGTTGTCCAAGTGGGGATTCTTAAACTTGATTTCAATGATTATTTTATTGAAACAATCACTTAGCTCAGTAAGAGGGAGAGCGATTGAGCCATATCTAAACAAAGAGCCTCCAATCCCTAAGCTTCAAAAGAACTGCAAAGTACTTCCTAAATATCATTATCAATTATCTCTATTACATGAGATTATTTAATATATTTCTTAACATTTTTTTAATGAAAAAAAAAGGAGGAAGATTGTACCTAAAATAACATTGCGTTAAAAAATCATTTAAATTTTAGGATTGACATTTAATATTTTTGATTCTTTGCTATGGCCGAAATCCTCATGGCATGGCCAATTTTTACCCTTTCTTCAATTCAATACCTTAAAAATTCAATTTTTTATATTTAGCTCATGTGTTTAATTATCTTTCTTTGGTTGATTGCTTGAGTGCAATTGGCCGAACTGTAGTATTCTTTCATGCATGGATGAATTCTTCAACTTATAGGCTTTCTATTCAAAATTCAAATTTTGAACAAGTTCATATGTACAATCTCTTTCCTTGTATGTGCAGTCGAAATATTCATGAATTTAGAGAGAATTCATTGGTTATTTGTTTCCATATAGGATTAGCCGAGTTTTCGTTATACTTTTTTTAAATTTCTATGCTAAATTAGAGTGACAGTCTATATAAAGTGAGGAGAATTAAACTTTTGGCATCAATTCAAATTTCTTTGCATTGAAAGTAATATTTTATAAAATAAATCACTGTACTAAATTAATTTTTTTACAATACTTATATGGCCCATTCAACTTCATTAGTGAAATTTATGAACAATGAGATAAGCTGCAATAGTTATTGCAAATAATAATGTTTGATTAATTTATGAAAACGATGACAATATGACAAACTTCTCAAAAATATAATTATTTCATAAACATGTCCTGCATAAGCTCTCCTTTAGAAACTCTTCTCCGGAAGAGAGAAAAATTTAGAATTTTGACTAATGACAAAAAATATAATGAGAAGGATAAGTGATCAAACTATGCTATACAAGTATTCAAGCTTTGACTTTGATATCAAATTGATAAAGTTCAGCAAGTGGAGGGAGATCACACCATAATTGTCCGATGATGCTTGGCTATAGTTCTAATAATTATTTTATTAGAAGAGCCATCCAGCTTATCAAGGAGGGCCACAAAGTCATACATAAACTAAAATCCGCCAAATTCTAGCTACATGATTGTTGCAAAACACTTACTAAAATTTATTTATCATCATTTATCTTTATTGCATGAGGTTATACCATGTTTATAAAATTACTTTATGAATTGGAAAAAAAAAAAGAAAAATTTTTTCAGAATAAAATTAGGTGAAATAAAGTATTTGAATTTTGAATTTGACATTTAATTCTTGTTAATTTCTTTTTATTTCTTAAATCCTCTTGCTCCTTTTTGCCTTTGACCGAATTTCATCCCTCTTTATATGCAACACCTTCAATAATGCAGTGATTGAAATTTATCTCATAGTTTTATTCTATTTTCTTGCTTGCTTGCTTGCCCTTTTCTGAATTTTAATATTTCTTCATGTATGGCTGAATTCTTCAACTTCTTTAAAGGTTTCTCTCCAAAGTTTAAATTTTGAATTGGTTCACATGTGCTCAAAGCCTCATTCTTGTTGGCCTGGCCGAAATTTCCATGAATTTAGAGTAGATTCATCTCCCGATTTTTTTCAAAATTAGGGTTTACTGAATTCTTTAATAGATTTGCCTTGGATTTTCTTGCTTGGCCGAATTTCATCCCTGATTGTAAAGATCGTTTGAATATCAATTGAATCTTGAAAAAATATGGTTAAAGTGATTTGGTGGTTCCAGGCTATAAGGTACCCAATTAAGGATACCATAATCTTTAAAAATTTTGATGGTATTATTTTTATTATCTGAAGGAGATGCATCATATGACCAATTTTTTTTGAGAATTGACAAAGCAAAAGGCTCTCATGCGCAATACATTGGATTATTCAATGTTTGAATAAGCTCTTTTAAATAGGCAAACATCAGGAATACAACAAAGAAATAAAAAATTAAGAAATTATTTATAATTAAGACAATTGAAGTAATTATCATCCTAATAAGTTATTCTACAAATATGATCATTATTTAATATACCAACATATAACCATCAAGTTGATAAGTTCAGTTCCCGTTACTCTCTAAATTATTCAATTCCTCTCTTACCTAGAAAGAGAAATGGTTAAAAATTGGTGTACGTATTCGCGATTGATAGGAGGTAAATTATATTTGCATTAATCTTGTGATATTTTCAATATACCAAAGATGGAAAAGTAGGGGAAGTTTTGGGGCAGCTTATTAGTACGGTGGGTGTTTCGAAAACACTAAGCATGAGTTTTTTCACGGTATGAAAGCGTCGACGGAAATTCTTCATTATTCGCGGATGCACTTTGGAGGCCTCTTTCCACATGTCGTTCGAACTTATTATCCTCCAGTCCTTGATCTCGTCCCCGATCATTCTCCCAGTCGCGCTTCGAAGCCCTCTATCTCGTCCTCGATCTTTCTCTCGGTCGCTCTTTCTCCAGATCTTTCTCTCGCGATTTCTCCCAACCATTTTCGGTCACGACAGATCATTCTAACTTCGATCCG